TTCTCTCACTTTCCTAGATTATGATATGAAACTGCCACTAATGCTATATTAAATAGTGAAACATTTTGTTTGTTTGTTTGGTTGGTTGGTTTTTTTTGCCATAAGGCACATGTACTTGCTGGAGAGAGACAGAGGGAGTGAGAGGAAAAGTGAGAAATCCCCCCCAGGGTGAATGGGAGGGATTTCTGCCATCCTTTCTACACTGCCATCTTTTCTCCTCTATTCTCCTCCTGGGATTCTGGGCTCGCATGCACACAAGCCTGGTGTGATTTTCAAGTCATTAGGTCCAGGACTTGTACCGTTGCTGTAGGACATGTGCAGTACAGTGCCTTAGCCACCATACTACCTGCTGGCCCCACTGTTACCCTATTTTACATATAATACCAGGTTGAAGCCTTTTCGCCAAGATGGCGCCGAAAGCGAAGAAGGAAGCTCCTGGCCCTCCCAAAGCTGAAGCTAAAGCAAAGGCATTGAAGGCCAAGAAGGCAGTGCTGAAAGGTGTCCACAGCCACAAAAAAAAAAAGATCCACAGGTCACCCACCTTCCAGAGGCCCAAGACTCTCAGGTTGCAGAGGCAGCCTAAATATCCTCGGAAGCCCAAACATCCTTGGAAGAGCGCCCCCGGAGAAACAAGCTTGACCACTATGCCATCATCAAGTTCCCCCTGACAACCGAGTCTGCCATGAAGAAGATAGAAGACAACAACACACTTGTGTTCATCGTGGATGTCAAGGCCAACAAACACCAGATCAAACAGGCTGTGAAGAAGCTCTATGATATTGATGTGGCCAAGGTCAACACTCTAAACAGGCCTGACGGAGAGAAGAAGGCATATGTGCGACTGGCTCCCGATTATGATGCTCTGGATGTTGCCAACAAAACTGGGATCATCTAAAGCAAGTCCAGTGGGCTAATTCTAAATATACATTTTTCCACCATAAAAAAAAAAAATTAAAAAATTAAAAATAAAAAAACAGGTCGGAGATTCCAAAAGTGATACTCACTTATAGAACAAGGCACATATGCATAGTGATCATTTTAAATTTTTGGAAAATGGCAATGTTGTAGATGTTTGACACACTTATAAATCTAACGTTAAAATAGTTTATGGGTAAACAACGGTAAACGCTAAGTGGAAGATCAGTTAGGTCACATGCTAATAAGTTATTTCAAGAATTTAGTTCTAAGAATTAAGACTTAAATGAATTCTGGTGTCTGAGGGTGAAGAATCTAGTCACTCCTGCTACTTCACTTTCTTTTACACTGCTTGTTATACAATAGCATATTTTGTAGAATGAACACTCTGGCCTCAGAGGCACTCTGAGATTCCACCAAGGAATAAAGCCTCTGCAGCCTTATTCTAGAACAACACTTTTGGCAGGTAAGGAGGAAGTTTACCCCTGGGCCATTCTCTTTCTGAGTCTTACACACACAAACTCTCCAAGACGAAAGTATTTTTCACTCTAGAAGCCTGAGTCCCTTCTGCTATAATATAATGGAACTGGAGCCTACAACTTCTGAAGTTCTTTGTTTCTCCAATATTTTGTGATTCTAAAGTAAGATCAGAAACTCCAGAGTCTGAACTGAGACCTCTAGGATGCTCCAGTCTTGGTTTTTCACATCTCAGCCATCACAGTTGTGAAGTTCCATAGCAGGACGTTTGTATTCACGCCCAAATGGCTCCCGCTCCATTCAGTGGTTTGCCAGGTAGCCTCCCTGTCATACTGCACGGGAAAATAAAGCATAAGGCCAATTCAGGCAGTGGAATTGGAACACATGTTGCTATAGTCATCTCCAAGGAATAGCCAATAGCCATTCTTCATAATTTATAAAATTTAAGCACTTAATTTTTCTAATTAAGTAAAAAATGATGGCTTTAACTATCTAAAGAGAATAAAAATTAGGATATTCATAAACACACATTAACAGAGATCCACTGAAAACCATCACCATTGACCAGTACAAGAAAATGCTAAGGACTTAGTCAACACCATCCATATACAACCCAGAACCTCATCACACAGCATAAATGTACAACCGTAACCACATTCTGTGAACAATCAGAAGGACTTTATAAGAAGTATATACTTAGTTAATATCAATAAAACCATGTGTTAAAAATTAATAATTTAGAATAGATAATACATAATTCTTTGTTTCAGTACCAATAATATATAATAAATGTAAAAGCCAAAGAAAATCTAATTAGTTCAAAGTGGCAAACATATAATTTCCCTCACAAATATTTAATCATGGAAACCATACTCAAGAGCACAGCGGAACTTTGTAGAAAGACAAATTCTTTGAAATTCTAGCAGGTACTCTGAGGCAGAAATTAAATCATGGCAGGAAATAGTTGTATTCAAATAAAATTTAAGCAGCTCAAGACCATCTATATTTTAGGAAAACTGCATTATTAGTTGTACTAATCACTGTACAAGAAAAACGACACTGTTTTCTGTAATGTTTCCTCGGAGTACAGTTAAGACTTTCAGTTACTCGATGTAGTTCGGGGAGTAAGAAAGGCATTAAAAGTAACCCAATATCTCCGAGTGTCATTGTTTCAAGACCATTGCTGAGTTTTCTCTTCCAATTCTACTGAATCATCAGGGCAACAGAGCACCTTTGGTATGTACGCTTATTCTGTTGGGCAACACATAGGATTATGTCAGATAGTTATTTCCAAGTATCTAAAGACATCAGTCACTTTTTCCTCTCCTCTTGCTCAGCAGCCTCAAACACTGGCACTGGAGTGGCCTAGAGGGTGGGGCTGTGGATGCTAGCCCTCGTGAATAAGGGGAAAGATAATGTGGGATACAGCTCAATGAATATAACAGCAGTAGGCTTCTCTCTAAAATCTGTCTCAGAGAATATTGATCCCATTCAGCCTAACACAGTCACAGAGACCTTCTAGAACTCTACGCTTGGTAGGATATAGTATGGTTTTCTTTTATACTCGGTGATGCTATAAAGGAAGCTGCTTTAATCATAATCTGTGACCAGGAGAGAGAATTCGCCACGCCTGCTGTTGTTAGGAAAGTTATCTTCAGAGCACAGAAAACCAGATGTTCTTTCCCTTGATTCTAAAATCTTGGGGTTCACATTATAAGTCATTAAAGATACTTTCTGAATAGAGCTTCACAGAAAAGACATAAAGTCAAGTTTATTGTAAAGATCTTTGTTAGGAACCATTCACATTTTTCCTTCTTCCTCCTCTATCTAAATTGAGATATAGTACTCAAGAAATTCAGTCACAGAACCAGCAGTTAGCATAATGGCTATGTCGCTGGACTCCCACGTAGTCAACCACCATTCGAGTCCTGGACCTGGTGGCTTAAACTCATGCCAGGCACGTGTGCATGCGTGCCCAAGATCCCAAGAGGAGAATGGAGGAGAAGGGATTGTGGCATGGCCATCCCCACTGGGGGTGGTGGTGGTGTCTCGCTTTCTGTCTGTCTGTCTCTGGCAAGCGCACGCGCCCTATAGCAAAAAACCTCTCAAAAAAAAAAAAAAAAAAAGAAAAAGAAAGAAAGAAAGAAATTCAGTCATAAAGTTAATGGTCTAAGAAGCCCTGTCCCCAGGAGCCAAATTCACTGGGCTCCTCATAACTTTTTTATACTAGGTAAGATTGAAATGAGCATCGGTGCAAGCAGGTGGCATGGTACTTAAGGAATTGGACTCCCTCCCACATGACTGACCATGGTTGAGTCTCAGACCAGGCACATGTACATGCATGCCCAAAATCCCAAGAGAAAAATGGAGATTATGTCATGGTCATCTCTCCTGGGGGATGATTTCTCATTTTTCCTCTGTCTCTCTGGCAAGAGTACCTGCCCTATGGCAAAAACATTACAAATAACTAAAATAATTTTAAAAATTTAAATGAGCATCAAGAACAGTCTTGAAATAGAAAATTTTTAAAAATCTTACATGAGTAAACTGCATTCAGGGGAAGTCAGAGACACTATTGAGGTGTGTGGTTCACGATGGGAAGTGGGGCCATACAAGGACAGTCTCCTCCCCTGTACTTTGGTGGTAGCAGAGGTTTAAGAGCTCTTAGTGTAACAAGGAGGGTGAGGTGAGAGCTTCTTTTAACACTTACAAGGGACTGCCTCCTTGAGTCACTTGTTTGTCACATGCTACTTTAAAAGCGAAGTGTCTGCTTTGTCAGACACAGGTGAGAGTTAGAGACACAGCCACAAGTTGTACCAGAAACAAATGGGACAAGAGCCCAGCCTCATTATTGATACACAAGCAGCTTCTGCTTCCCATCTTCCTTTTGTGCAGTTAGCAGAGGCCAGACTAACTGAGGCAGCCATGCATGCTGCCAGTTACCCCTAAAGCCTCTCAGAAGTCCTTAGAACATGTAAAAATGAAGAAATGCCTAAACAGGGTTACAAAACTTGGGGTACACTTTTAATATATATTTTTAAAATTGCTGTTTTTAAACACACAAGGATGTATGAAACTGTTGGGTTGTTGGAAAAGTCATGACACATTTTTACATAGAAAAACATGGAAAAAAATATACCATGATTTTTCTGACCACCTAGTATTTAATCACAATATGCTGTGGTTGGTGTGGCCTAAAGAATGGGACATGCTTTTTTTTTTTTAAAAAAAAAAAGGAATTGTTTATTTCATTTTATTTATTGTCATTATTATTTAATTTGACTAAAGAGAGATAGAGAGAAAGAGAAAGGGAAAATGAGAAAGCAAGCTGTCAGATCCGGGACACAAACTATAGTCGGCCATGTGCGAGTTCAGTGCCTTAACCATCATGTCACCTGCCAGCCCCAGGACACAAATTTAAAGTGGTCTGATGAGTCATCTCTTTTTCAGTTCCCTCAATATAACTTCAGACATGAGTTCATGTTTTCACTTGAGAACTTCCATGACTCGGAAGCAGGCTAGATCCCCTGGGCTCCCCGTGAAAGGTACTGTTTACCTCTCCCAAATGTTTCTAACTGGAAATCTTTCCTTAACTACAAGCCTAGCACACCACCTGCTCCAACATACCGTGATATCATAAAGGAGGCAAAAAAACAATTTGCAAAGAATCAAAAGGAGTTTAGAATGTAAGTTCATGCCAGTTTATATTAGTAAATATAAAATCATACTCTCTGAGAGCTGGAAGCACTCGTAGAAAACATAACTAAGCTCCTAGTTTTACTGATGGAGAGTGTCATTTCTGAGCATCTTAAACACTCAGAGATTTTACTCACTTAAGGAAGAGACAGGATGGGCACCCCACTTTGGCTACCTGATGCAGTTCAAGGACCACATGAAAGAGAAGTAAATGGAGGAGCAGTCCATAAGGTCCTATTCGGCAAACAGAACAAAGTCTGAGCCCCTGCCCTCCAAAGAGTCACCGTCTCCTACACACCCACCCATGTGCACAAGAACACAAGTGCACACACATGTGTGTAGACACACACACCCACACACACACCACATCTTAGATTTCGTGAGCTTACTGGGAAGACCTAGGGATGGAGCCCTTGCTGGAGAGTCCCAGTGGACAGCACCAGGGTGTTCAGGTGATGCCTTGGGTACATGTATAAGCAAATGTGCTGGGGGATTCTTCACACTTAGTACTGCAGAGAGAGGGAATGGTTTCGTTTGTGATGGGCTTTTACTAACATGTAGTTGTTAGCAAATTGTGGATTTATTCTT